AAATTTTACATTTAAGAATAATTTAGTCATGTTACTATGATATACAAATTTAAAAAGACAAATTTATTCTTGATTAATTCAATAATGATAAATAAATCTTATGAAAATATTATATTATCCTTAATAGCCAATGATTTTTATTGATAAAGATAAAATGACCATTACATTTTTCCACTTCATAATAAAATGAATATGCATTTACAATGAAAACATGTTTAGGTTTTTTTTTTAATGGTAACCATCATGCATCACATTGAAGATTAGTTGATTTGTACATTAGCATGTGAGCTGGATTTTGCAAATCATTCTAAATTTCAACACACAAACTATCTATTGGTTGTAACTAGTGTTGTTATCTAAAAATACATAATTATAAGTGAGCATAGATATTTAGTAACATAACAATTATAATTCAAGGTAAATTTTTAATCAAACAAAACTAGTATGCATATTAAGTAAATATATAAACTTTTATAGGATTTGGAATGGAATACAATCCTAACATACATACTAAACAAGTATAGAATTTATACTTAAAACAAAATTAATTTAGAGTATTTATCTATTAAATATTTTAGAATATAACCAAGCTAAAATTTTGTTATTGTCAAGATTTAATTGTTTTTTCTTAAAGTTTTATTAGTCCTTACTTTGCGTAAAAGACTGATTTCAATAAACCTTTCAAGATTTCAATAGCATAACAATATTTAGGTATATTTCTAAATAAGACTCAAAGAATTAATAAAATTATACTCAATTATATGACTACAAAGATCAAGCCTAAGCTCTAGATTATAAGTAAATTATAAAGAAAAAATATTGCTTATAATGAAGAGACTATGCTAAAAATAAAAAAGTGGAGAAGAATGTAAAAAGATTATGTAGCATTTATGCAGAAAAAACCAATTTAAAACACTCATTTTTATCTTTTTTTTACAGATTATTTTGAAATCAAAATTGATATAGAATTAATTATGGTAATTGCATGAATAATTTTTTTTATTATCAGTTTTGATTACCCTTAATAAAACAGAAATTAAACTTGAATATTTTGGTCTAATATTTTTTCAGTTGAAAAAATTGTTCAAATTCTATAAAAACTGAGCAAATTCTTACATTTATGAGATGCATTTGAGGCCTGTTTAGCTATTTTGTTTTTTTCTTTTATCATATTGTTGTCTCTCCTTAATTAGATTTTTATTGGGTTGAGATGAGATAATTTTAGGATCAAAATAAAAAATCTTCATATAATCATGGATAAAATAGAAAAAAAAGAGGAAATTATAAGAATTATTATAGAATTAGAGTTTAAATTGATAAGATATTAAAGAATAGGGGCTATATTGAATAAAAGAGAAAAAATTGTTTAGCATGTGTAAGGAAGGACACTGCTTTATGGCAATACTTACAACATTCTTTATGCTTCAATGGTAGCCATCCTTAGTATTGTTGGAATAATCTCAGCGAGGGCTTTCTTCTATGATGATGCATGGTGTAAAAAGTGTTTTTAATAGTTTATTTTTTTTCATTCTTCTTTTCTTCCTTTTCTTTTTTTCTTTACCTTGATTGTCATGCTTGATTTGTTAAAAATATAAAAAATAGATTTCTAGAATTTTAATCTTTATTATTTTAATTATTATTTTTAATAACAATTATAGTTTAATTTTGTAAAATTAATACCCAATAATTATAGAGTGATGTCTAAGAACCACCTAGAAAATGCAAAGCGGAAGAACTTTATGAAACAAAAAAAATTGAAAATGTGAAATAGAAGAATGAAATTAAAAAATAAAAACTTTGAGAGAAAAAATGGAAAAAAAATACCACATAAAAGCAGCTGAAAAAGTTGAAAAATTTACAACACTGCCATATGATTTTTCACTTTAGAAAAATCCATTTTGTTTTAGTATTTTTGTTAATAAGCAAGGCATGTGCGCTCCTGCGGGTACGCTTTCAAAACATATTTTCAATAATAAGTAGAATAATTATTAGTAAAAAACTTAGAGTGTGCGTGTGCGTGTCTATATATATATATATAAACCTCTTCTACCATAAATTATTAAACTAAAGCTTTTCATATCTTATTTTTTTGTTTTTAATTTATTAACATCTATTTAGCAAACAATGAGTAGGATTTTGATATCTTAATTTGAGTAGAATATTCATAGGTGAACTTAAGAAGAAGAAAAAAATTAAGTATGAAAACGGTTCTTATCTTATTATTGTTTTATTTCATTGCAAGCTTGAATTACAGATATTCAATTTAACAAGTCTTGCAATTTATTTTAACGTATTATTCCTTTTTAAATTAAATTTAAGTGTTTTAATTCTAGAAGAACATTTTATTTATAAAAAAACTTTTTTAAAAGGTGTCAGAAACTTTTTTATAAAACAAATTTTGGTGTCATATTTACATTTTAAATATTTTAAAAAATCTAAATAATTCTTAGGATGTATATCACCCAAAATATATAAAAAATAATATTTTAAGGTTGTATAAAAATAGTACTTAATTTTGAAATAGAAAATCTAAAAATAGAAATATATTAAAAACACACAAAAAAACAAAAAAAAACCATATGGGTCAAACATAGATGTCTAGGCTAGGGAGGCATGATCTAGGTGCTCTCAAAGTGAAAAAAAGATAAGAAAAGAAAAAAGAAATGAAAATATGTGGAAGATGAGTCGTTTACTAAACTACTTTGGCTACTCTCCAACAGATGAAAATCGGACCGTCCAATTTGTTCTTCAAATCCAATTTTCTTCATCATTTTTTTATATCAAATATCTTAAAAAATTCCAAAAGCAACTAAAATCTTATTTTGTGTTTGGAAACTCATTTTAATTGACCATAATTACTCAAAAAAAATCAAATCAAATTCTTAAATTTTCTTGGTAACTGTGATTAAATTTAATAGATAGATTAAATTTATTTTCTTATGACCATAATTACTCAAAAAAATCAAATCAAATTCCAGAAAATCAAACTCATTTTAATTGACCATAATCTTATTTTTTGTCTGGATTTTCCTGTTGCTTCAAGTTTGCTAGCCATTTACTTAACTATCCTTGTAAAAAGGCTTCTTGTAAGAAGAATTTGTTGACATCAAATCGGTAGTTTTTATGGCCGGTTGAGTTTCCTCTCTCCTTCCTGTCTTTCATCACTTCACTCTCTTTTCTCTATTATCAAGGACTAAAATGTAATGAAAATAAAGTATGAGCATCGAAATGCATTTTTGAAAAAGTACAAGGACCTAATTTCAAAATTGAGGAATTCTAAACCTTTCTTGCCATTAAAATTAATGAAATTACAATATATGTTGGTGAACAGTATAATTAGAATTTTTCTATAAATTTCTCTATGTATCAAACATAGGGTTAATAATTCCAGACCATATTAGAACGTTGCCCGTATGCAAAGACAGTAAAGGATCATGTAAGAGATTCGTTAGGACAGCGCCTCCCTCGTGATTTTTCTAGTTTTTCCAAAGTATATACATTCAAGTCCTTATTATTTTGAGATTATTCAATTTTTTCCATACATTCCTATTTTATTTAGGTGATAGAAGTATTCCTTTCATGCTGTTGCTTGGTCTTTTAACGGTTAGCAATTTGCTTATCTATTACACTCTCTAGTCAATTTGTAGAATGTAAATTTCAAAGATATTTTAAAAAATCTAAATAATTCTTGGGATGTATATCACCCAAAATATATAAAAAATAATATTTTAAGGTTGTATAAAAATAGTACTTAATTTTTAATTAGAAAATTTAAAAATAAAAATATATTAAAAACACACAAAAAAAAAACCATATGGGTAAAGCATAGATGTCTAGGCTATGGAAGCATGATCTAGGTGCTCTCAAAGTGAAAAAAAAGAAAAGAAAAGAAAAGAAACAAAAATATGTAATTTTTCTAGTTTTTCCAAAGTATATACATTCATTATATACATTCAAGTCCTTATTATTTTGGGAGTATTCAATTTTTTCCATACATTCCTATTTTATTTACAATTAGATACTAGACTTGTAATTTTTCTCCTTCCTCGAAGCTAAACATCCCTTTTTCTATGTGTAGTTTCAAGCAATAAAATATTCTTTCTCGAAGTTAAAAATCCATTTTCTATAAATGTGTATGTATAACACACAAATCATTTTTAAGCAATAAAATATAATTTTTTTGAAGATTATAATTATTTTGTAAGTTTTTTGGTTCTTAAGTTTTTGAAAATTACAATATAGTCTTTATAATGAAAGAGTTTTACAACTAGATCCCTTCATGATTAGACTTTAATCATGCAATGATTCATTACATATTTTTTGTGTGAAGTTTATAATATAATAAGTCATCATGATTATAATGGTCCGTTATCTTATAATTTTAAAAATTACGTATTCAAACATAGAAATGTAATGAATTATTTTGTTACATAATTTATCTCATCTAACAATCTTGACGTAAGAGATTTATCCAAGTATAGTAACCCCACTAAGTTTGATTAAATTCAGAAAGGGCCAATGGTCTGCATTTTTTACCAGGCCAGCTTTCTGCGTTTTCAACTCTACAATAACAGAACCAAGCTGCTACTTTGCATCAAAAGTGCAAATCCAATGGTAGGGATTTAGGTCAGCTCCCTAATTTCGCTACTTTGCATCAAAAGTGCAAATCCAAAGGTAGGGATTTAGGTCAGCTCCCTAATTTAGGATGAAGGTTTCTTTTAGAACAGATAACAGCTAAAAATATTGAAGCACAGGAAAGAAAAAAAAAAAAAAAAGAAGGGATAGAGCGCAAACCCCACTACATCTATAATTAGACATAGACATACAAAACAAGGTGTGCCAAGGGTTTCGAGAGAAACACTGCTAGATTTACCAGCTCTCCCCAAGTTTAGCACCAGTACAGCTACTTATTAAGCCTATAATTTAACAACTCAAATCGATAGAGCCGCAGTTTTCTAATAAACATCTTCAAGGGAAAGGTTTTACTCTGAGACGAGAGCATGGCTGCTCAACCCTCCTACTCCTTCATTGCTATTGCATTGTTGCTTGCTGTCGCTTCTGCAAGTGCTACAGACCAAACTCAAGGTATGACTCTCTTGCATGCAAAGATCTTTCTTCCATACACACGCACACAAACAAGCATATGTGTTTTCTGTTTCATTTTTCTGCCATCAGAATGAATGAGACTTTAAATATATATGGTAACGTAAATATGTTTCTTTTGAAACACGTATTTGTTTTCCTTTGACAAGTTCTATGATCTGAAATCATTTGCTGTCTCTTTGGAGTTTGGAGCATTCTTAGAAATAAGAAGCATAAACGACTTATTCTTTCTCTGTTGTTATGCAACAAGTGAGTTTGGTTCTTGGGATTTTCTTGGCAGCATCTGCATTAGAATTCAGTTACGCTGGTACAAATGGCCCTGCCAAGTGGGGAAGCTTGAACCTAAAATTCTCTGCATGCACGTCTGGAGAAACTCAGTCTCCTGTCAACATTATCAAGAAAGAGGCCGTGGAAAACAAAAATTTGACACCCTTGACCAGGGATTACAAACGTGCAAACGCTACTCTTGTTAACAATGGCTTTAATATTGGGGTTTGTTCCTGAAATAACTTCGTTAATTTTATCTTAAGGAATTCCTATACTGTAATCAGCTCTTTGGCACATATTGTGGTAGGTTAGGTTGATATATATGAGCTAGTGGAGAAAAAATAGCTTCAAGAGATCTCATGGAAAACTTTATATATGCTGGTCCAAACTATCATTTTCCTTTTCATAATGCTAATTATTATTCTGAATGCTGAATTTTCTAAATGCAGTTGAGCTATGAAGGGAATCCTGGAGTCCTGATTGTAGATCATAAAAACTACACATTGAAGGAAATGCACTGGCATTCTCCTTCCGAGCATCAGATTGACGGAATCCAGTATGCTCTCTCTTCCTCTCTAGGTTCACAAATTGCTATCCAATGGCCTTGACCCTGTCTGCTTAAAGTGGCCAGCCCTTCCATGCACTATTTAAAACTTTATATTCTTAACCTTTTTCAAAAATCTAATCTGCGTTAAACATGTGTACATTACCGTAGATAAAATAAAAACAATCTTTGATAAATAGTAACAGACACTCAATTGGCATTCTATATCTGCAGATACGCCGCCGAGCTTCATTTAGTCCACGCGAAAGATTCTGGCTCTGTCGCTGTTGTGTCAATACTCTACGAACTTGGTGATGCTGATCCATTTATCAAAAAGGTAGAATTCAAGTCACATTTTCATTGTATACTAATTTTTAGTTATTTCCAAAGGACGTGTAGCAGGAATCCAAATAAGCAATTACTACATATTTCTTTGGTTGACGGAAACAATCCTGTTCATTTCTGGTAAAATTTCCCTTTTCTGGAGGCAATCTCCTAAGATACTGATTTTGTCCTGAATGAATAGATTGAAGGCCTAACATCTCCAAGAGAAAATTTTAACCAATAAAAGCTATTCGTGGTTGCAGATTAAAGACAAGCTGGATGCTCTAGCAAAGGAGGTTTGTGCTGCTAATGAAGAAGCCCGTATTCCTGTTGGGTTCTTGGACAATAAGCTCGTACGAAAAAATACCCGCAAGTACTACAGATACGTTGGTTCTTTCACCAGTCCTCCATGCACTGAAAATGTGATCTGGAACATTCTTGGCAAGGTAATATTTATACATGTATAAATATAGGTATATTTGTATGAGTGCAGATATATATATATACAACCGCATGCAGACTGTATGATAATGACACCCGAATATGCAGGTGAGAACAATATCGAAGGAGCAGCTAGAAGCCCTGAGAGCTCCATTGGGTAATGATTACAAGCAGAATTCAAGGCCAGTGCAGTCGCTGAATGGAAGAACGATTGAACTGTATAATGAATTCACCGACTAAAATTATTCCTACTGGAAACAAATTTTTATTTTCCTGTCATACGAGCTTCTGTATGCAATAGTATTGCTAATTTACCGGCGTAGGTCATTTCCATGACATCTCAGCTGTGTATGCAGATGTAGCTTCACCCCGAATTCTCTTCCGCTCAAAACATTTTCGCTCTGTAGTTAATAAAGGGACATGATAAGCGAATTGCACTTGCTTTCATTTCAGTTTGACGGCTGTGGTCTAAAATAGCAGTTCATATAAAGATGATGACAAATATCTTGATTTCAAGTCCAATTCCAAGCTTAACCATAGTTAGTGATGTGCACAATTCTCCGTAAATTCATGACATTGCCAGAAACTTGAAAGCAACAGAAATTGTCCCAACTCATCAACCAATCAATGTATGCTTAGAAAGCCGGCAATTTAATAGTCTTATTGATCCACAACTTGTAATTAACTGAAGCAAAAGAATAAGACAGGTTGGTCGAGAAAAGTCAACATGTTTTGATTGGAAAATCAAGCTAATAATTGCATTTGCCTGTTGCTCTCATGCGTCAAATTTGCCAACTGTGTTCAAATTTATATTCGGAGGGATTCAAGATCAATCCATTGACAAGAGTTCCCTTGTTGAACAATCCCACGTCGATTTGCTTGTCCCCGCAAAGTGAGGGAAGAAGATTGGACTAATCGGTGGAAACAGTATAGAGTTTTGATTGGTTTGTTTGATTGAATATTTTTAAATTTTCTTTTTTATATGGTTTTGTATGGTCAAGATTCTAAACCATTCACGCAATGGCATTTGCAGACACCACAGAAGTCAATAATGACGATTGTCCTGCCATGGGGATTCCCTCGCTTAAAAAGTGAGAAAGTTGAACACACCGACTTGTTTACCTATGGAAATGATGAGGTCGAGAACACCATCGCTAAACAGATGAGACTACGCACAGATCAAACTGACCCAATTTTTCAAGTTACCCAATCTTACTTCTAAATCTCTTGAACTCTACCATTAGATAGTTGACAACGGCTTTCCCCGAAAGATTCAGGCATACCCTAACCTTGTTAGCAAGAAAACACTTCTTGGTGATTTTCTCGAGCCTTGCTCTCAAATTAAACCCTTATAGAACCTTGAGAAGGAACTGAGACATGTATCTTCCAAATCTTTATCTGGATGATCAAACTAGGCAAATGAGTGATTATTTTCCATATGAGTGGGGTCCACATGCATGTGAAAGGGATGGCCAAACTTTCGAATGCAAACAATAATTACATTAGAAATTATTGAAATTTAATATTTCATGCATTTAACCCCGAGAAAATGATAAAAACACATACAATGTACAATGATATTTCAGCATCCTTGCAGAAGAACCACTGTCCATTGATATAGTCTTCATTATTATAATAATAACAATCTACACTCAAACTTATATCTACAAGCCCTTTCGGAGGAGGGTATCCATTGATATAGTCTTCATGAACTGCATTATTATAATAATAACAATTTAAACTCAATTTATATCTACAAGCCCTTTCGGAGGAGGGGGGGAAAAGAGCAGTAAAATCAGGAAAATTTTATAGGATTTAGGGAGTAATTAGTAATATTTTATTAATTGTTTTTTAGATATATCTTAAATAAAGAGAGAAAAGATAAAATCTAAAATCATAAAAATATTTTCCACTAGAATTTTTCTCTCCTAATTATATATATATATATATATTTTTAAATAAATTCAAAAATAACTAATAAAACACTACGAATTACTCCCTATACATTATAAAATTTCTCACAAAATCACATCACAGGCTAAAAAAACGTGGAAAGGTAGTAACTGTAGTTACCGCGTTTGAAACGGTTAATTCACCAAGCCAAGTCATCCTAAACTGTAATTCAAATTAAACCCCACAGAAGATACCCAATCACGACCGCGACCCCTCTAGCCTGGACCCCCACCGTTTACTTGACCCAGTCAGTTCACACCACGTCAATCTCGACGCTCCACGACTCCGATCTCCTCCCGGACGCAAACCTCGTCATTCCTCCCAAACCAACAACCGGCTCCATTCCAACGCTCCTTCTTGGTGGCGCGTCTCTATCACTCGCCGGCAACCGGTCCCTAATATCACTCGATTTCTTAGGCGCGTAGCTCTCGCTAACCGATCCACCATGCGACGTGACATTGCCACTCTTCAGTGATGTATCTTTATTGTTACTCTTAGACCTGAAGATGGCTTTAAAACTGGCAAAGAAACTTTTTTTTTCCTTCTTGTCACTTTTAGTACTTTCCTTCTTTCCGATTGATTGAAAAGATCTTTGTTCTTGCTGTTGCTTCCGCAATCTACGGTTACGATCTTTCTTCGATCTCACTCTTCCCATACAAGATACTTTCGGCGAAGACGGTTCAACCATAGTCGTCGAATCCGATTTACCGGTCGAACCGGACCGTTTAGGAAACAATCGTGTGTTTCCAGGTTTACAGTTACGGCGATTCTTTTTGTCAACAACGAAGGTTGATTTCTGTGTCTTTGGTAAGCCAATGATCGACGCTTTAGGGTGCAAGCTGGAGAAACGCTGTGAGTTGGAGGGGTTAGGGTTGGGGATGATGTTCGGGTTTAAGTTTGTGGAGTTCGAGTTTCCTTTTGTGGAATCCTTGCGTTCGTAGTAAGCATTGGTGCTGAACCAGTCGAGTTCGGCATCTTTGGAAAGCCAGAAGGATTCTGGCGGGAAATCTGGTGGTACTTCGGCGAGATCGGAGGAGTCCAGCGGTGGTTGGGAATGGTTGGTAGTGGTGGTGGAGGAGGCGGCGATGGTTTCACAAGCGACTTTGCGGTCGCAGGAGCCGCCGGCGCAGGCTGAGACTAGAGTTTCAAGATCCACCTGTGGCATTGTCCGTACAAAAAAGAAAAAAGTATGTTCACAGTATTTTGAGAGAGAGAGAGAGAATAATTAGGGAGGAGGAGATTAACACTGGAGGGTTTTTATAAAGGAAGTGACGAAGGATAACGAGAGAGAGAGAGAGAGAGAGAGAGAGAGGGTTTTTTGGAGGGAGAGTTTCAACTTGTTGACTGGTGCTGGGGGCTTCTGGTATTTTTATGAGAAAACAAGCACTCTGTCTGTTTACGGAAAACAAAACCTTTTCTTTAACTTTCAAGAGAGAGAAATAAATAAAATTACATCCTTTATTTTTTTGTCCATAAAAGCCTTATTTTCTACCAGTCCCTTTCATATTTCCTACTTCTCCTTCCTTTTCTTCATTTTACTTTTTAATTTAGGTTTTGTCAAATTTCTTTTATTAAAGTCTTTTAATGGAAAGTAATTTTTTTTAGAAATTTTTTTTAAGAAAATAAATTATTTTTTAATTTTTGATAGTGTAATAAAAAATATATTTAAAAATACTTTTTAATATTTGGTTATCTCATGAAAAATAAGCTGAAAAATAAATTATTAATATTTTATTTTTATCAAGTTTATTAAAATAATAAGAACTAAATCTTACAAATTAAAAATTTGGATGAGAATGAAATTGAAAAAAATAAAATTTATAAATTATCTTAAATAAAATAAATAATAATCAAAATAATAAAAATCAAATAATCAAAATAATCAAAATCAAATCTAAAAAAATAAAAAAAATAATTAACATTTCATAAATTATTTCAAATAAAATAAGTAATAAAAAAAATAAGAATCAAATTTTATAGATAAAAAATTTTAATAAAAAATAATAAAAAAAAAACAAATAACAACTATAAAAATAAGGATTAAAGTTAATATAAAAATTAAATTTTAAGAGATAAAATTAAAAAAAATTATTCAAAAATATATATAGCAATTAAAAGTTTAAGAATCAAATTTGATATAATTAACAAATAATATAATATTTTTAATTTTTCACAACTTTCAAAAAATATTTTTTGACTAAATTTTTCTAGAAAAATAATTTTTTGAAAATCAAGTTAATTTTTTTATTAATTTTTTTTATTAATCAAATTTTTTAATAATAAATAAATATAAAAAATTTTAAAAAATAGTTTTTAAAAAACAATCGTATCCTAAATAATAAAGAAAGGAAGGAAGGAAAATGTTGAATTGGGTAGCGGCTTGAGGCCGCCGTTCTCCACCCTGCCTCTTTCTTCTTCTTCTTTTTTAATATTTATTTCTTCTTCTTCTTGGGAAGTAGACTGCGAATAGTGTGTCTTGTTTTATATACAATTGTATTTCTAATCGTTCCGCTCACAAAGACCAAGCTTTTTCTTTCTTTATGTTGCGAGTACTTTATAGTAAAAACCGTGATAAGTTTTTTTTTTTTTCCAATAAAACTACTATGAAACTAATGCTTAAAAAAGTAAATTTACTTTTCACCTCTTCATAAATAAATAAAGAAATATTTTAGGTTGTTTTAAAAAAATATAATTTAATTTGAATTTACTAATAATTGAATTTCATAATATTTTTTATTTATTTTTTATGAAATTATTTTTATCTTATTATGATCTAGTTTATGAATTTAATTGATTAATTTGTAGTCAATGAATGCAGTATTTTAAATTCAAATATCATGTTTATTTTTCTATGCAACATGTTAACAAACCTAACTATTTATTTGTGGACAACTTTCACTAGATTCAAGAGCATCTTCAAGAAAAAAAACTATTTAAAAGAGCTAGATTAATAATATGACTTTTTGAATAGTATAAATATAACATTATTTTTTATATGTATTCCAATGAAAAAAACATTTAGAAAAATCGATTTTATTTTAATATATTTTATATTAATATAACTATTTATTAATAGTAACTAACTAATACAAATATAATCAAAATCTTTTTTTTTTCTTGTATAAAAATATATTAAACAAACTTTTAATTTTTTTGACCAACATATAGGAATAGCTCTCTCACTTAGAAATGTTATTTTAGCCATCTAATATAGCTCTCCCTTTGGAGCTATAAAAATGAGGGATGAGGGCCAAGAAGATACTTGTCTTTTCCTTTTAGTTTTTTTTTAAGCTCTTCCCTTGAAGATATTTTAACAAGAAACTTTAATTTATCTTTAATCGAATGCATTTGTTCTTTCAAAAGTTTCATATAGATGCACGAGGATGAGGATTGAGTGTAATCCATGTAGTTTC